TTCGCATACTGCTGCCCTAAGCTTCATGATGGGATGTTCTTGTGCCTGGAAGGAGCTGTCTTCAATGGCCTGCCAGCTCTGCTGTGCCTCTTTGCCCTACTGAGCTGCCTCCCATGCGATCYCACCTACTCAATTCCTCGGTAAGCCCAAAAAGGCCCTCCCACAAGCCATGCTCTCTGCTTTGCTTTTCCCTTCCTCACCCTGTCTCAGGCTTCAAGCTCTTTTACATCATGGTCTCTACAGTCAGGGCTGACGCTGATCACCACATAATCACCGCATCCTCACCCTCTTCTTTGTGAACTGTGGGGGCAGCTGTGTTTTACTGCAGGTTGCCCCAAACTGAATCCGGATGAAGGATTTATCCATCACCCGCTGCCACCTTCCAGAAATCCAATCACTTGCCTGTCTGCATCTTGTCCTACATTATGTGGCTGAGGAAGTCACCTTGGTCACAGCACAAGGGTAATTGCAGGGATCTGCATGGAGAAGCAGCTCAGAACAGACAAGGCCAAACACACACACCTTACTAATGAGGCAGTGGCTTGCAGCCTTTAATTCATGTTTCAGGTGGTCACCAAAGACAGATGATTTCAGGACATAATAGTTCAACAAAGTGACAATGCAAGCAATAGGGAATCACAGAATCACAGAATGGTTGAGGTTGGAAGGGACCTCTAGAGATCATCTAGTCCAAAGCCCTGCTCCAGCAGGAACACCTAGAGCACATGGCACAGGGTGGCATCCAGGCGGGTTTGGAAGACCTCCAGAGAAGGAGACTCCACARMCTCCCTGGGCAGCCTGATTCAGAGCTCTGTCACCCTAACAGGAAAGAAGTTCTTCCTCACATGAAGACGGAAGTTCCTGTGTTTCAACTTGTACCCATTATGCCTTGCACTGTCACTGGTCACAACCAAGAAGAGTTTGGCCCCCTCCTCCCTACATTCTCCTCTCAGGTATTTGTACAGATTGGTCAGATCTCCTCTCACTCTTCTCCAGGCTAAACAGGCCAGGCTCGCTTAGTCTTTCCTCGTAAAGACAGATCCTCCTTAATTATCCTTGTCACTCAGCGCTAGACTCTCTCTAGAAAGTTCCACATCCCTGAAAATGTGGGCCATGTGTCAGCCTCAAAATGTTTATAAAGGAAATGGAAAGGCAATCAACCAATACTAAAAAGAGGAAAATACTAGGAATGCTGATGCAGACCATTGCCTACGCTCATCGCAAAGCACAGCAAAATAGAATCTCCTGTGTAAGACTAAAGCCTAATAACTRGGTTGGTGGAGGCATTTGTCCCTTCTGAAGCCAGTTTTTTTCATGTCACTTCATTTATCCAAATATATCTGTGAAGAGAAAGAAGGGGAGAATCAATGAATACTAAGCCAGGCACAGGGCAGTGCTTCCTCAAAGCGATCCAGAGTGGATTTCAGCTGAGGTGCCAGCTATTCTTGTTTGGAAAGCTCAGCTGGGTTGCAAAGGAAGAGCCCAGAGGCCTTCCAGAGGCCTGGAGAAGCTCAGAGAGCTTCTCAGAAGCTTCTGGAGAGCTCAGAGTGGCCACTGCATGTGGGAATGTTGGTGACAAKAGCCCTTCCTCCATGGAGACTCGAGCCCCAGCAGCAAGGAACCCAAGCTATCCCTCTGTAAAAACAGCTGGTGCACACCACAGGGGCCGCTGTGCTGAGGAGAGCACAGGCAGTGAGTGCGGCCCTGCAGAAGCAGGGAGGGAGGAAGGCAGGGAAAAAGAAATGGAGAGGTCCCCCTCCCTTGATCTGGTGCCACCCAAGGGAGAAGCCAGATGCCCCAGATGYGGGTGCTGGGCAGCAAGGGAATAACGTGAGCCCAACTTCGCTCTCTGGAAGCACTGCAGCAGATCTGGCCACACTGCTAAGAGCATGACCATGCGGCCKCTCATGTGGATGCTCCAGTCACATTAGGAAGCGGCTGAGTTCTCCTCACACACYCTGTGTCTCCAAACACTGTTGGTGGTCTCTACCAGCAAGCCAYKGKCCTCTGCCACTGAAGGGCACCAAGCTGCTCTCTCAGCTGGACTTGGTCTTCTGCCTAAGGCAAAAGACCCCACAGCCTGCCAGGCAGGTAACTCATGGGTCTCCTCATGGAGGACTGACTTACTTACTTACTGTGGCATCTAGGGTACTTGAAAACTCCATCCAAGCACTGAACTTTAAATTCCTCAGCTCTTGAAGATTTTGCATGCCACCACCGTCTACATTCAAAATAAATATATTCCCCATAGAGAAAGGTGGAATGATGTGACAGGCTTGATTTTAACTGAATATTGTTTTTTTCCATATCACTCTCATGCACTGTACACGTCCCTGGAAAACAGAAAGCCCATTTATTATTGGCCTGTAGACCTCATGCTGGACAACTGCTCCTCTCATGCTGCAGGTGCCCAATGACTCTCCCCAAAACTTCCATCCTTCGCTGTCTTCCYTCATGGTCRTGGCAGGCAAGTACTGGGAGAGGGCTCCAAGGAGAACAGCAGGGCAGTCATGAGGAAAAGTCTCCCGCTTCCCTCGGGCAATGCCCGGCCATCCCTACTTGCGTGGGCACAACAGGTTTCTTTACTGCGAGCTCAGGGGCCCTTCCACAACTGCCCCCATCTCCATCAACACACGGTGCAGGCSATGAAGGCCTCAGCTCTCGCCCTCTGCACTGTGCAGTGCCTGGGCTTTAGGCAAATTGGAGGGCAAGGCAGGCGTAAACTTCCTTACTGAGAAGCCCATGAAGCCCTGGAGAGGCCAGAGAGGGCAGAAGGAGACCCTGCCACAGCTGCCAAGGAGGAGAGAGGCTGCTGTGGAAAAGCAGGCTGTTTAAGCAGGCAGCAAAATGCAGCAAAACAACCGAGAAGCAGTGGCCGACTTCAGGTGACTTACTTCCCGGCTTGCAGTGGGGATAGACTAGCGTCCCCTCCACACACTGTACTCGGAATGGAGAGGATGCTGGGTCCTGCTTATATCCAACTTTACATTTAAACTCAGCAAAATCACCAGACTTTAAATAAAGCTTTTTCTTTGTGGTCTCTCTCAGCTCAATGTTGTTTCTGTCCATGTCCTCTTCAGATGCCGTACACGCCACTTGAAAAGGGAAGAGCAGGTTCTGAGATCATACAGAAGCACCACGGGGAGTTTGCTTCCCTAGGGCCTAGAGGAGRCCCCACKCTGGCTTCCCTGGCCYACCAGGCACTCACACTCATCCTCCCCTCTCGCAGCCCGCTCACCACGACTTTGCCCCCTGGCTCCAGCGAGGGCTCTCAGGAGCCCTGCACCRTGATGGAGACCCCTCACACAGGGTCACATTTGAACCTCAGAGTCCAAGCAAAGGACAAGAGCAGAAACCACCCTCATTATTGCCACAAAGGGGACACTTAACCCACCTAAGCAAACAGGGGGGGTTGTCCACTGCCCCCCAACACATGTAATAGTGGGAGATCCTTTCAACACATAGAGACTTGGGCACTTGTACTCCACAGTTGCACCTGATGCGTACTCTTGCTGCGGGAAKGAAAGCAGATCTCCACTTTCAATCACTGGAGGTGGGCCGCATTTTTCACTTTTCCCTGAAAGCAAATTTCCAAGAAGAGA